AAGAACAACTTTAACAAAACTGCCGAATGAAAAATATTAAGTATCCCTGAATGCATATATCGAAATGATGGACAATATCGGAACAACGAGCAAAATCATCCCACAGCATTTATATTTTTCTGAAACTAAAGAACCTGGAGAATATGCAATGTTTGTGGACAAATCTGAGGGCAGCTGAAGAAGTGATCTCGGGTAAGGTAACACTTCAGCAATTATTAAGCACCAATCTCAATCAAGTCCCCTGAATATCTCAGTGAAGAAACACCTTCGAAATTCTCTCCCTTTTCTCGCAAACTAAACTCGTTAGAGATCATTTGCTAAAGACGATCGTTTAAATGCTAATATTTCGTTTTTCATCATAGAAACCAAACTTCTCAATGAAAGATGCTCGTTTTTAATTAATGAAAGCAGTTTTAAGGTTTTGTGATGATAATTCAGGATGAAGTGAACGTGAAATATGATTTTATATTAAAATTGATGTGATATAATTCAATCGACGGAAGTGTTTAATGCCGTTTTGCTTGAATCACATAAATGTAATCGAATGTTTCTGATAATAATTCTCGATGCTGGTGCGAAATGCTCTTGATGCTTTTATTTTTTTTAATATAGCCCGAAAATTCATTTATAATAATGCTTTATGATGAGTTTGTTCAAAGAGATTATTAATGTGGTACGGAAAAATATGATTTCTGCAATGATTTTTAAAGAATTTTTGAGGATTCTTGACACTGTGTATGGTCATGAATGATATACTTTTTTATAAGTGAATAAAACTTTGGAGTTCATCAAAACTTTGGAGTCGTTCTGCAATAAAGATTCGTATTTTGGTCCATTTCGGTGGATTTTCGACAGCAGAACAGCTATTCACCAAATCGACAAGACAACAAATTTCGGAAAGCACAATCCGAAAATTTATTCCACTATGAATTCCAAATTCGGAACATCCAAGGCGATTAGGCTTTTTTCCTTTAGACGTTGAAAAAAATTTCATACGGATGGAAAAGTTTCTTATTGTTAGGCAGGCAGATATTCATGATTTCTTGTCAACATTAGTGAAAAGCCCCTTGTCAGCAGAGAATTTCCCTGTTGAATTGTTTTTCCAAAAAATGATGGAAAATTTTGGTTTTCAAATCATAAAGCTCGCATTTTTTTATTCGAATCCATCAAAATTCCCAATTGCTTTTCTGTGTTTTTTGAAAATCTTGTCAGTTTCAGTGTTAGGTAACTGCGAGAATACTTCCAAATCATTGAAATTCTTGAGATTGCTGATCATGTGACATCTCTAAATAACACATTGTATGTATATGGCTTTGAATGCGAATGACGAGCGATGAATAACAATATGAACGCAGGCAGCTCTTTGAGTGAGAGTGTTTTAAGTCACGTGTAAAAGCTGAAGAGATTGTGACGGTTACTCAAGTGTGTGTGGCTCGTCCTCGCACATTCAATTCAACGATCAGCAGTGACTGAGACTTTTCATTTTATGAATTGAGAAGGAGATATCGTAATTTTTGATGAACTCAACAAAACAATTGTTGTTTTGTTGAGTTATGAAGTGAATTTTTTTGACATTTCCACAGAGATTTCTTAATTCTTGAATGATTTTCGTTGTTTTTGATTAGTTTTTTTTTTCATTTTGTGAATCCTGCTGTAATTTTCAAAGAGCTATTGGCTAAAACTCTGATTCACGGGGTTGAAACTGTCCCAGTTCAGTTCACGATGTTCTTCACTGATCATTCCTTGAAAAGGATTCGTCTGAATTGATAATTAGACCGTCGTTGTGGTTGTTTAACTCCGCTAAGATCTCATTTTAAGTGTGATTATTTCATCTGATAGCTGATGAAATGTGAAAAATGCAAAATGTTCAAGTTTTATTGAATGAAAGTTTGATTAATTTGAGTTTTAGAGGTGATGAGCTGTAACTCGGCAGTATTATCATATCGGACATCGATAGGTTTGAATCCAAAGCACGACAAACATTATTCGGTTAAAAATCCCAGTCATGCTGAAGGACCGTTGAGAATTACGACAGTTATCGAGCATTTGAAAAAGTGCGGCTTATGGAGCCGTTGCAATATCATCGAGGTTTCTTATCCTCCACAAATTTCTAACATTCTTTGAGTTTTGCTGTGAATCAATGGGTAATTGCGATCGACCGACAATTCAATATGAACATGAAATTCAATTTAATTATTAAATATCACTTCGATTCATATTTTTTCTTCAATTGCTCACTAAAAATGCCTCATGAAAGTAGTCTTCAATGTTATGTCAGTTATTCTTTAATCATAAAGTTAATATCAGTAATTTGATAACTAAATATTATGATCTTCATCATTCAGGAACATAGTGCAGTAGATGAAGGTGATCTGAAAGAAACTCATTCTCAAAGCTACATTGACTCAATCGTTCAACTGAAGAATCAGCCGCAAGAACTCATCGATAAATTTGCTGAACAGTTTGATACGATTTATCTTCGTCCGGTAAATATTCCAAATATTTCTGTGTTTCTTAAACCATGCTTCTTGAGAGATTATATTAACGTAATGTTTGATATATTAACGGTTTTCACTATTGTAAAGTGAGATACATAGAGATGTTCAGTTGAATGATTCTTATGAGTATTAACCACGAAATCGTAAGATGAATTGATTCAGATGCACCTTTCAGGAATCGTACGAAGCAGCCGCCGAAGCAGTATCATGTGCAAGAAATTTGGCGACATTGATAGCCGAAGGAAAGGTGAGTGGTATAAAATATTTTTGGATTTAAATAATTTTTGATTGTCAATATATCAGACTATCTTATTAATCGATCGTTCATTTCGAAATATTCGGTTAATGATTGTAATTGAAGAAAAATCATTCTAAACTGAAGAAATCATAATTTTTGGAAGAAAATTTTGAGTATCAAATGTTCGTTTACTATTGTGTTGAAGAGAATTTTCTTATCACCAAGCAAACTGAATGGTGTGAATATTTCCAGATTCCGAATGGTTTCGCGTTGATTCGTCCACCGGGTCATCATGCGCAAAAGAATGAAGCCAGTGGTTTTTGTGTGTTCAACAATGTTGCACAAGCAGCCGAAGCCGCGTATAATTTTGGATCGAACAGGTAATTTGAATTCGTTTTGTGAATTATAATTACAAAATTTCATGGTGGTTTTTGAGGGGAGCAAAATGATTTATTGGCAATTTGTTTTATTCGTTCGAACTTTCAGAATACTCATCGTAGATTTTGATGTTCATCACGGTCAAGGAATACAACAGTCGTTCTATGAGGATAAACGGTATGTCACTATTTGAATTTCTCGTGTTTGGAAAATTAAGATTCATTAATGAATAGTTTTGCCTTATTATGAGAAATGAATTCCTTCGATGGAAGAGTCTGTATCGGACTCTTGTTCCATTGAGTTTCTTATGTTGTTTAAATGAAATCACAATTGCTTATGAAATGGAAAAGCATATGAATAATTTATGTTAGTGTAATTTATGTTGCTCTTGCATAATTCAGCTTAAGTCGAGTATATTCATTTCATTT